TGTGTGTGGGGGGGGGGGGGGGCAGATGCTCCTCTGCCTTGTTGTGCTGTCCCAGGAAGCAGATGCTGCCCCAGGAGTGTGGGCATGCCTATGTGCAGCACTTGTGAGTGTCTGCATGTCCCTAGCCTACTTTTAGTGGTGGCTTGTGGAGGGAGGGTGTCCCAGTGTCCCACCCTGGTGTCGGGAGTAAGGCAGGCCTGTCCAGACACCCTGTCAGCCAGAGCACAAGGGTCCTCTGTTGCAGCCTTCTCAGGGGGTGTGCCTCAGACTGTCACTCCACTCTGTGTGGGTCTGCCTTAGTTTGTTTACTTTCATGCACCCCTGGTCCTGGATGCACATGTGGTCCTTGGTGGCCAGGCTCTCATCCACGTGGCCATAGACATCCACATTCCTGCATTTGGTGTGGAAATCCTGGAGGTTTGCCTCCTTGTCCCGGACCTCACAGAGGTCCAGGATCTCCACACCAGACCAGGAAGGCACATACCTCTTCCATCCCTGTGTACAAGCTGCTGTGCAATCCCTAGACCGAGAAGGCTGAGCAAGGAGTGTGTGGCTGCCCCTCATCACTGGCAGCCTCCACTTGTGTATATAGGGCAAATGATGACACTCACCTAAGGGTGTGTCTAGACTACAGGGGTTTTTTTTCAAAAAAAGTGGCCTTTTTTCAAAAAAAGCTTCCTCTGTGTCTAGACTGCTGCTGCGTTCTTTTGAAAGTAAATCGAAAAAAACACGGCAGTTTTTTCGACCACGGAAAACCTCATTTTATGGGAATAATGCCTTTTTTCAAAAGTGCTCTTTTGAAAAAAGGCATTGAACACAGTGCTTTTTCGAAAGAGAGCACCCAGGCTACCTGACTGCTCTCTTTCGAAAAAGTGGCTCTCTTTTTTGAAAATACTGGTTGCTGTCTAGACAATCTCTTTTGAAAGAAGCTTTTTGTAGTCTAGACGTAGCCTGAGGGGCCTTCCCCAACTTTGGATGCTGTCCGGGAGACATCCTGGGAGGGGGTACTGGCTCCAGGGTAAGAATGATCTTCTGGCTGGCAGGCATCAAGCTGGTGCTGGCCTCGTCCGGATCCTCTTCCTCCTCTTCACTGGCTCTGCCCTCACAGGAGGGCTATGACAGGCATCTCCAGTCCTGAGTCCACAATGAGGGGTGGAAGGGAGCTGTGTGTAGTAAGGGCAGGCCTGCATAGGCCTGCCTTAGTTCTTTTACTTTCATGTGCACCTGCTCCTGGATGCACATGTGGCCCTTGGTGGCCAGGCTCTCAGCTACATGGCCATAAACTTCCATATTCCTGTATCTGGTGCGGAGATCCTGGAGGTTTGCCTCCTTGTCCCAGACCTCAGTGAGGTCCAGGATTTCTGCACGAGACTAGGAAGGCACATAACTCTTCCATCCCTGGGCAGGGTCCTGGGAGCTGGCTGCTGGCTCCCTTGCAGTAATGGAAGACTCAGTGGGAGCAACGGGGTCACTCATGGTAGCATAAAGCACTGGTCTGGCACCTGCTGCGTGGCTCAGGGTAGTCAGGATTTCCCCTGAAGGCTGCAGCTTTAAAGGCTGAAGGGGAAGGGAATCTATAGAGTTCTGATGAGTGTGGCCAGTGGCCAGCAGAGAACCTGTGGGATTTCTTGGAGGCCTCTTATTTTGTAATAACTCCATCTGCCGCGTCTACACATGTCCTATTCCAAAATAGCTATTTCGGTCATGAGGGTTACAAAATCTGGAATAAGACTCCCATTATTTCAAAATAAAGGGCTTGCTGTGTAGATGCTCGCAAAGTTATTTTGGAATAATGTCCATTATTCCAGAATAACACTGTTGGGTAGACATGATCCCAGATCTCAGATTAGGGTCCTACGCTGAAATGAATCAGTGTAAGAGAGAAATGACTGTGATACAATGTACTTTCTTCCTGATTCTCAGATGTCTGTATTTCTCTTTACAGAAAGAAACTTTTGCATAATCACTAGAGTCTTAGCACAATGCTCAGCTCACGGATTATATATTATGCAGTTATACAAATAATTAATAAATGGAGTTGTTCTCATATTTATAGACTTTTTAAGAAAAGGGTGTAGGAGTAATTTCCATAGTGCACAGGACCCCAAATTCTTATTTTGACTGCTTGTTTTATTGAGCAATTGGAACTCCTACAGGAATACACAGAACCAAACCAGTGAAACTATAATTTCATAAGATCCTGCCTCTAGTTCACCAAAGTAGGAACAGTTCATAGAAGGGAAAAAAGAGATAAAAAAATAATTTATTTTTTACCTTTTGTAGGGTACTTATCAATTGGGATTTCCTCCATTCACCGGAAGAATAAAAACTATCTATTGCAGACAATTGAATCCATATTTAGTCAATCCAGCCCAGAGGAGATAAAAGCAATAGTCTTAGTGGTCTATCTAGCAAACAATGATTCTACTCTAAACAAGCAAACAGCCAAGGAGATAAAAGATCAATTTAGTTCACATACTGATGAAGGAAACCTTCTTGTTGTATGCAGCTCTTTAGCCAGTTACCCTTCTTTACAAAGTCTGCAAAGGAACTTCTGGGATAAAGATGAAAGGATCCAGCACAGGTCAAAACAGAATGTGGACTATGCTTTTTTAGTTAACTTTTGTGCCAGCCTCTCTCATTATTATTTGATGTTGGAAGATGATGTGGTTTGTGCCAGTGGTTTCCTTTCCATAATACAACAATTTATACATGAACGGAGGGAGCCCTGGACCACAGTCTCCTTTTCAACGTTGGGCTATATAGGGAAACTCTATCACAATGAAGATCTTCCCAAACTGGCACGATTCCTGTTGCTGTTTTATGATGTGATGCCCTGTGACTGGCTCTTAGAACTTTTTTACCAATCCAAAGCACAGAAAGAAATCATTACCTTCAGACCTTCTCTTTTTCAGCACATTGGCAGAATTTCATCTTTTCACACTATGGAAAATGCACTCAAGGATCCAGAGTTCCAAGAAGATTTTGGGGATTTTGGAGACTTCCCTGCTGCCTCCTGTTACACAGACATACCAGTGTTTGATAACTATATGCCTGAAAAAGTCTGTCCACCTGGCAAAGGTGTTTTTTGGGGAAGGAATGTATTATCAGGGAGCACCTTTACCATTGTTTTTGAAACACCTATCATTCTCCAGAAGATTCATATTTATACAGGGTCAGCTGAATACAAACAGGACATTCTGTATTCAGGTTACCTGGAACTGGGCAAAGTGAAAATAAAGGAAAATGATAGTGCAACATGCAGGATTTTCAGAAGAGCAGGAGATTTTTGCAATGGAAAATTTGAACTGGACAACTTTGATCAAGTTATGGAGGAGCAGATTCACTGCCTTCGAATACAGGTAACAGTCACACAAAAGGAATGGCTAATAATAAGGAAAATAAATATTTGGGTAAAAAAGGATTAATGGATTAAAACTCAGTACCACTTTGTTTAAAAATAGAAAGGAAATCCATATTATACATTACCTTGTAAAAATCCCTGGATTTACTATTTATTCTGTAACAAAAGCAACTTTGCAATTGTTTAATGAAAAAGAAAGCCAGATTTGAGAGGCATTTCTAGCTCAAATAAGGAAAATAAACTTGTACACAATACATTAAACTTGTTTCTGCCCTAATGTAGTTGTGTCTACAAAAGCTCATTAGTAACAGAACTTGTATGCCTGTTGACTGGTATGCATGGCAGAAAAGGGAAGCAGCCTAAAGGAATGACTCCCTACTTGCTTCTGTCATCCGGGTTTGTCTTAGCCCCTTAGGAAAAACAAAACCAACTAAAATGTGGGTGCTAACAAAGAGACCATTTATTTAACAGTTCAAACAAAGTAAAGAATGTAATTAAAACCAAGACCCCCACAACTAAAGGTAAGTGACACAAAGGTGGTGCACGACTGCGACTTGGGTGAATTCCCTTCCCCCAGGATGGGACCCAGGTAAGGAAATGGAGGATTATGAAATCACTGCCATATCCTGCAGCTTGTGGATCCTCATGGCAGTGGGACCACTCCGGATTCTGTCTCCAGATGGTATCTCAGGTGAGAGTGATCAGGTTGTGTCAGCTCTGCTCCAACAATAATCGGCCCACTCCCCTCCCTGCACAGCCGTGGGTGTGTCCTTAGTGATGACGGGTGGCAGCTGGTAGCACACACCTTGTGTTCAGGTAAGTTCACCCTCCCACAACCAAAACCTGTCTGCACAGTGCTGGCGTACCCCTCTATCTAGCTCCAGACTCTGCCATTCAGAAGCGCAGTCCCTTGGAACTGAAGAGGCAGCCCTTAAATAAGCTACTGTTCCTGGGCAGAACCTCAGTCACGCGTCTGTCTAACTTTCCTGCCAAAACATCAAAAGAGTGGGAAAGTGTTAAGGGCAGGAAAATGCCCTCAGGGGAGGAAGAAGGATGGCCAAGATGGACTCCATGTGGTTCTTTGGACATTTCCAAAATGGCATACACATGTTATTGATTACCAAAACTTTTCCCCTTCATGCACTGTTTAAATAGGATTTATCACATTTATGGTGGTCATGAACATTTAGACTATGTCTACTTCTTCTTCTTAAACCCTTGTACTCCTAGTGGAGCATAGGTCATCTACAAATCTCCTCCACTTCACTCTGTCTTGAGACAAAACTTCTAGCTGACTCCAGGAGTACCCCAGTTGTTGTCCTTCAATCTCAATAGATCTTCTCCACTTTGTCCGAGGTCTTTCCCTTTTGCGTTTTACTTGTGGGTTCCATGTGAGAGCTTGACAGACTATGCTGGATGGTGGTTTTCTGAGAGTGTGTCCTAGCCATCCCCACTTTCTTCTCTTGATTTGAACATTAAGTGGTTCTCGTCCTGCTCTGTTCCAAAGCTCCTAATTTGCAACAAAGTCTTACCATTTGATGTGAAGGATGTACCTCAAGCATCTGTTTATGAATGTCTGTAGCTTGTGATTTGAAGACTTTTTAGTATGCCTGGTCTCACATCCATACAAGAGCACACTCTTCACATTTGTGTTGAAAATTCGCAGTTTTGTCTTTGCAGATATTATTTGTGAACTCCATATGGGATGAAGAGTCTTGAATGCATCTGTTGCTTTCCCTATCCTAGCATTGATATCCTTGTCTGTTCCTCCGTCTCTGCCCATAATACTCCCCAAGTAGATGAACTGCTCCACATCTTCTAGGTCATTCCCTCCCAATGCGATGGTGTTATTGTTGGACTGGTTGATCCTCATTGTCTTGGTCTTTCCCTTGTTAATGCTCAGTCCAATGACTAAGGCAGTTTTTTCTAGTGTTGCGACCTTTTCTTTCATGCTTTCATGTTGATGTGAAAGGAGAGCGACGTCATCAGGAAAATCAATGTCCTTTAGCTATTTGAAAAGTGTCCACTGAATGCCCCATTGATGGCCATCTGTTGTCCTGCTCATAATCCAGTCCATTTTGATCAAGAACAGGAAAAGTGACAATAGGCACCCTTGTTGCACTCCTAAGAGTATGCTTAAGGATTCTGTCAAGACACCATTGTGAACAACTTGGCATGTTGAAGGTTCGTGCGTTGAACAGATCAGGTTAATAATTTTGGATGGGCTGCCACAGTGTTGCAGCAGTTTCCACAAAGTGTCTCTATCAATGCTATTAAAGGCTTTTTCGAAGTCTATGAAGGTTATGTACAGGGGAGAGTTCCACTCAAGCGACTGTTCTATGATCACTCTGAGAGTTGCTATTTGATCAATACAAGATCTTTTGCTTCAGAAGCCAGCCTGTTCTTCCCTAAGCTGTCTATCAATTTCTGTCTTCATTCTTGCAAAGAAAATCCTATTGAACACTTTTCCTGAAATAGACAGTAACGTGATGTCCCTCCAGTTTTTGCATGACTTCAGATTGCCTTTCTTTGGAAGCTTGATAAGGTAGCCATGTTTCCAGTCTTGTGGGATCTCCTCAGTGTCCCAAATTTTCCCAGATAGATTATACATCATGTTGACTGATGTCTCACTACCTGCCTTTATTGCTTCTGTGGCAATGTTGTCTGGACCAGGTGCTTTTCTGCTTTTCAGATGGGCAATGGCTTTTCTGATTTCTTCTTTTGTAGGTCTGCTGCTGTTAATTTGTAGAAGTATATTTGCAGGTCGTATCTCTGGAAGTACCATGTGGGCAGGGTGGTTCAGTAGCTCTTAAAAGTGTTCCTTCCATCTACTGAGCTGCTCACTTGGGTTCATTAGCCCTGCCTTATCCTGTACTGGCTAATCCACTGTAACGCCATGACCCAGCTAGCTTCCGTGTGATGTCATACAGCTCTTTCAAGTTTCTCCATCCTGCATCTTGTTCCGCTTGTTGTGTAAGGTTTTCCACAAAGTTCTTCTCATCCCATTTTACAGCCTTTTTAACTTCCCTGTTGGCTTCTGAATACAGTCTCTGAGCTTCTGCCTTGTGTGCTCTTGTTATTTTTTTACAGATAGGGTTGTTAACCCCAAACCAACCCCTTTTACCTTGGGGAGAGGTAAAATGGAGCTAGCTTCCGTGTGATGTCATACAGCTCTTTCAAGTTTCTCCATCCTGCATCTTGTTCCGCTTGTTGTGTAAGGTTTTCCACAAAGTTCTTCTCATCCCATTTTACAGCCTTTTTAACTTCTCTGTTGGCTTCTGAATACAGTCTCTGAGCTTCTGCCTTGTGTGCTCTTGTTTTGCTGTTGTTGATTGCTGCTTTTCTATCCTTTTGTTCCTTCACTTTTCTCAGAGTTTCTGCTGTGATCCATTCTTTGTGATGCCTTGCCCTCTTTCCCAATGTTCTATCACAGGTCTCTTTTCAGGCTGTTTTGGTGTGTTACCAAATTTGTCCACGGTAGCATCTTCCGGAATAAGGTTTGTCAGAAGTGCATATCTGTTGGACAGCTCCACTTGGAAACTGGCTCTTGTCTCTAAATCCTTCAGTTGCTCCGTATTGAATCTCAATCCTGGCTTGGTCACTTCTGTGGTGTACCTTTATAGCTTGAACTTGAGTTTTATCATGACCAGATGATGATCTGAACCTACATCTGCTCTTCTTCTAGCGTAGACGTCTTGCATCAATCTTCTGAAAGAACAGCTGATACATATGTGATCAATCTGGTTTTCTGACTGATGGTCTGGTGAAACCCATGTGACCTTATGGATCCTTCTGTGTGGAAAAACACTACCGCCTAACACCAATCCATTGAAAGAACAAAAATCACTGAAGCTGCTCTCCATTTTCTTTCATGTTATCTAGGCCTTCTTTTCCCATAGTCTGTTCTCTGCCTGTATTTATGCTTTCAATTTTTGCATTGAAGTTGCCCATCAAGATCAAGATATCCTTCTTTGCTTTCTGGTTCACAACACTTCGTAGTTTTTCATAAAAGTCTGTTTTACATTCCTCAGCTGCTTCGTTGGTTGGTTCATAGCATTGCTCAATCAGTACCTTCCACACTTTGGTGAAGAACCTGGCTGTGATGATGCATGATGATACTGCTGTCCACTGCATTAAAACACCAGATGCCTCTCTTCATAACATCAAGCCCATGCCTTTTGTGTGTGGTCTGCCCTCTTCTTCATGGCCTGACTAGATGAGGGTTTCACCTGTTGCCAGGTGTAGCTGCCAAGATTGTGTCCATCTTGTCTCACACACGCCCAAAACTGCAAGCTTGTACTGTTACATCTCCTCTGAAATCTGTGCTGTCTTCCCTGCTTGATACATGCTCCGTACGTTCCCCGTACCAAACTGGGTGGTTGTCCTGGATGAGAGATGGGTCATCTGTGGGGCAGCTTCCTTTTGGCTTTCTCTACCAAGCTTCATATTCAATCTGTGCGGTTTGCCAACTCCTCCCAAGACTTGTGTAGCTGTAGGTTTCTTTGTAGATGTTTCTGTAACTTTTGTTTTTTTACAGATAGGGTTGTTAACCCCAAACCAACCCCTTTTACCTTGGGGAGAGGTAATCCAAATTTGTCTGGTCTCTACCCTTTGACCTGTCCAGTTTGGGTGACCCTTCCAGGAGCTGTAGCCAGTGGTATGTTAAACATGCAGGTATACACGAATTTGTGCACACCTCTATGCACATGGATTTCTCTTAATGGAAATGTAACAGAATTGTAGTGACACTTTTCCACCCTTTTTTATTTCATGTTCTATACTTGTACTAACACGGCTACATTTCTATCACTATTGTACAGTAGAGGGCACTAAAGCTTCATAAGCTGACCTTGACAAATGGATATTTTTTCTGATAATGCTGAGAAATGAATGCATGCTGTTTAATATGAGGTACTCAAATTCTACTGAGAAATGCTGTTTAATATGAGGTACTCAAATTCTACCTAAAATATGTGCAAAGTCAAGCTCCCCCCCAAAAGAATTAAGCATGAGTTGCTTTAATAAAGTGGGTACTGTTAACAGTAGAGATGTTACATTTAATTGATGATGTTACATTTATACTCTTTGACTCTGTATATTAAATATATAATACATCAATTTTCCATACTGATAACAGTTTAGCAGAGTAAATTCATGACTCATAGGTGTTATAGATAAAAAATTTAATTAATTCTTGATAGCACAAATTAGAAACTGAAGGAACCAATCCACTTAGCAGTGAAGTGAATACTGTACGCTGTCCCACTGGTAACCCAGTGAGAGACTGTACTGG